TGAAAGAGTTTTCGGTTTCTAAATACTTCATTTCCTACTGTTGGCCACTACGTTCTCTCTATCAAGTTATCCATGAAGTCCTCGATTGTTTTGCAATATGGGTGCGTTCAGACTGAGTCATGCCGGTTATTAGAATTCATGATCAGTTATGCCGGTTTAGTCTTTTTAGAATTTGTTCAATACAAGTTTTTCGGTTCGGTTTTAGACAGTTGATTAAAACAGAACAAATATTGTCACAAAAATGTTCCCTTAAATCTTGTCTCTCTTCCCAATCTAAAAACTCAAAAAGATCTCCGCTGTTGAAAGGAAATAACCGTTTCCCTAGTACATTCAGATTCAAGATCATTTGGGGAAATTGTCATCACTTCCAATTCTCCATTATCAAAAAAAGTTTATTTATCTTTCTAACAAAACCATAGAAATGAAATCAAACTAATAAAAAAAACTGTATAGAAAATAAAGAGAAGGATCAGACTAATTAATTGGCTCCCCTGTTGAAAGGAAATTCTATTCGCTCAGTATAATCAAATTCGATCATCTGGGGAATTTGTCGTCACCTCCAATCTCTGTATTTCAGATCTGACAAGATAGAAACAACGAACTTAATACTTAGTTCCAACATAATTAATCCTAGGAAAAACAAAAACAGACAAAAATCAAAGAAGACAAATTTAGATCTTAATATTTGCCCGAAACCGCAATAAGAATAAACCCAAGAGAGTTTCTCCGGAGAGAATCAAAACGAGTAACAGAAGCCGGGAACGAATTTAGCGTCAGCTCATACGCCTCCAATCTGTATATTTCAGATTTGACATCACAAAAACAACGAACTTAATGTATTAGAGACGTAGAACTTAATGTATGTAGAACAAAGAAGCAATTAATGCCTTTTTGTGCTAGCTTTTTGCTCACTTTTTTGTCAAAACTGGTTTGTTTTTGTTTTATCTATCATCCACTTTTGTTGGTTTTCTATCTATGTAGCAACCTGTGTATGCAGGGTTGTCTGAATTTCTTAGTTACAGTATGTGCTTTGAGATAAAGTAATCATAAGGGCATTTGGTGGAACCGTGGAAGTAGTAACTGTTCTTGGATCTGGTTGTGATGTGATTCTGGTTTTGTTGACTTAGATGATCTAAGCAGGTTACTGATTCAGCCCTTCTTGTTAAATTTCTCATTACGAATTTACGATTCAAATTGATCGAAAGCGGCTTGATCAAAGGCTAGCTCATGCTCGTTTTGCCAAAAAAGAGATAGCTTAAGCTTTTAGTTGCTGGATAGTTAATAATGGCTTACATTAAGAATACGTGTTTTGTATATAAATTTCTCCAAGGTTACATCTGAATCTCTTTTAAAGAAACTAACTGATCTTTGTTGTTTTGTTGATCCACCAACGTACATCCTTACAAGTAGTGAATTGTCCGTTTACTCTGGTTGGTTGGTCTTTGGCATGCGTAAGCCATGTGGTATACAAATTTGATAATGTTTCTCAAAGTTGGTGTTTCCAATTGGATCTAGTCAACCCCTAACAAGATCATAGACTCTTGTAGTACATTAACAAATGATTATAATTGTCCGTTTGTATGTACCCCTAAAGAACCCAATAACATAGTAATGGTTAGTTGAAATTAGTTTATATAATAAGTGTTGTATCCATTTATTTGAAATGTAGTCTATGCAGAAGAATAACAGAAAAATTACGACTTGGTGGATC